AAAAAAATTATTTATATGATATATATATATAATATATATATATATATAGCTTTTGGAGTTGTGAGGATTTTCTTCAAGTTTTCAAACAGTATTATGAGTCCTACTACTTCGTTGCAGTCCATGTCACCCTTTTTCTATCTGACGACCGTATTTCTTGAGAATAGCAATGTAGCGTAGTTTTCATTGCAAAAAGCTCAGTCGTAAGGCTATAATGTCCAAAGTGTAATATTCCTTCCTGCATGCCTTCCATAATTCACTGGTGTACGAAGACGATGGTTTCCCAGCACCCATTTCAACAATCTGGTCGCACAGAAACCCCGGAAATCATTAGGCACTCCTTCCGCCGACCCTAACCGGTGTTTCTTCTTATGGATTAGCAAGAGTAAATGACTTATTTTCCAGCTGCGTGAGGTGTGCGACAATACGAATACGTCATGGAAACAACTTGATTACGTACTATTGTTTGGGGCATGTGGAGACTTTTGCTACTGATCTTTGAATTAATGGATTCCCATTTGTTGCAATATCTGCGCACTTTGCTTACTATGGCTGGAGGAAAATTGTTGCTGGATGTTCCGGTGCCCTAAGTTGATGCATATTTCTTTGTTTCTAATGCCATTACAAGGAATATCCCCATCTAGTAAACTTTAAATCCTCAATCTAAACAAATTTTTATGATCTAAGTGTATGAATATCTTACGTCGGAAACACCAAACAATGTGAAAATGTAGTTATGATGCATGCCATTCCATTGATCAGCTGTGGTTGTCACATTGATTAGCTATTTGCATATTCAGATGTATTTATACAATGCGCTTAAAATATTTTACATTAGATAAATTAAACGTTTTTTTCATAGGTTACTTAATTCTTATCGTGACCATTATGTATGTTAGTAGTTAATAATCCATCTAATTATCTACCAATCTATTTATCTCTTATGGCAGACTACCAGGCTCATTTCTGTGATAAAAAAACGATATTTGTTGGTTTATGTGAAGCAGCTAGTCAACATCATGAACCATCATCTCTTGGACTACCAAAGAATAGTGTGATTGACCGTAACGTTACAACGTTCCCACAGCTGAAAAGGCGAGCATGTTAGTTGACGGGATTCAAACCCGCGACCCGCAGATTGCGAGTCAAGCAGCCTATCTACCAGGTCGCCTCATGCCGTATTTATTTTTTGAATTGGGCGTAATCAATTGATTAAGGTTGCATAATGTAAATTCACGGGCCCATGGTTCGCGCTCCTTTGCCGCAAGAACACGCTTTGCACTTTGGAGCCGTGAATATGTTATAATAGTGGCACTTAAATCCCAGTATTCGATTAGAGTGTCATAAGAGTTGGCGGTGGGTGTTGTTGAATAGCTGCTTTACATGTGTAGGTTCAAAATTAGTGACGGATAAAGCACATAGTCCTTGTGAAGCTTTGCGCGAACTTCTGTTACAAACATACAGACATGCTTTTGTGCATGACCATCTGAAAATTGTCAGTTATGGTCGCCATGGATAATGAACTACATTGAAAAACGTGTTACATTTGGCACTTATCGGGCTTATCTGCAGCGAAATTTCTTGTCTCAGGTAAACAAGTCTTATGATCCTAGTGTTAATGATGTTCAGATTGCGATAAATCGTGAAGTGGTCTTACCAGGCATTTTAGATGTGTTTGCTCATTTGTTTGTTATCAAGCACTAAACTGCACAGTGGGCTATATGTGCTGTGCCCACCGAGAGTATCGAATATCTAGTTTTAACATTATAAGCCCTCAGACTTACCGCTGATGAGACGCCATTACTGCTAGTGTTCCCGCAGCACAGGGCGCCTCTGTTGGGCGGGTAGGAGTGACTGTGAACCTATATTTGGTATTTCACATATGTTCTGGGTGAAAGATCTGGTCTCTCAAATGTTTAAGAGGTCAACATTAAGATTTTTCGTGTAACAAAATCTCGAATGGTCGGCTGTTTCGGATTCAGTATCGCGTACCATAGAAAATACCAAGCTGAGCAATCATACAGGGTAGAAGTTTGGGGCTTGCAGTAAGGGTATTGGGTATGGGTAAACATTAAAGATATTGCTCTGAAGAAGGTCTTTATGAAACTACCTTTTAAATCGCGAGGAACTTAAAAAGATAGCGATGCAATGAGAATATTATGATGATAATGGTACAACCTTAGAATGTAGTCAAAGTATGTGATACATTTGGAACGTGAAAATTTGCCATGTCCGTTGAAATTTGGAGGAGTTACATAAATTTTGAGTAAAAAGTTCGTGGATCGCATAAAAAAAATGAATTTTCTTTGAAACATACTAGTGATGTTTTAAACTTGATTTCTCAAAGAGTGTAAATGTAAGTTCGTGTGAAGGATTCTTTGTTTGTTTATTTGTAGTTAAGCACAAAGCTACACAATGGGCTATCTGTGCTCTGCCCACCACGGGTATCGAAACCAGGATTCTAGGTTTGTAAGTCCGCAGACATACTGCTGTGCCACTGGGGGCCTCCTGAAGGATAGAAAGTTAAATGTTCTGTTAAGCGATGAAACGCCTGAATTATCTTATTCAACGTCTTGTTTCTTTGACTGTTTTGTTTCTAAGCAGAAGGCTACACAATGGATTATCTCTACTGTGTCCACGACGGGGCGTTATAATGTGACGGTCAATCCCACTATTCGTTGGTAAAAGAGTAGCCCAAGAGTTGGGGGTGGGTGGTGCTGGCTAGCTGCCTTCCCTCTAGTTTTACACTGCTAAATTAGGGACGGCTAGCGCAGATTGCCCTCGTGTAGCTTTGCGCGAAATTCAAAAAACAAACAAACATCTTTTAAGACTTTCTTAAAATGCAAGAGAAACTTTTGCCACCGAGTTCATCTAAGTTTTATTGGGATTATTTTAGTAAGTGGAAATATATTAGACGTGTGTCGGATTATAGGTCAGTTTACTTCAATAGGCTTACTTTAATCTCTTTTCTTTAATCCTTTGTTGAAAAATTCCGCCACGAACGCTACTCTCCATTTCTTCTAACGGATGTTGACAGTTATGCACTATATTTCTTAACTGGTTGATGATAGGTTTATAATGTGGAATCCCCTTGTTGAAATGTTACAACAGACAAAGGTTTCTGATTATAGACGTATTTGCTACAGTTTTGTAAAACTGTTATTGTGCTGGGTTTTTCCAAGTCTGGTAAAATCTGGAGGAATTTTTCCAAATAAACTGTTTGTTTGAAGTTAAGCACAACGTAACACAATGGGCTATCTGTGCTCTGCATACCACGGGTATCGAAACCCGGATTCTAGCGTTGTAAGTCTGCATACATACCGCTGTGCCACTGTAAAGACCTTCTTTTATTTTCTTTTATAGAGAAGAGTGTCAATTTTTGGTTGATATTTCATCTTAATACATAGAATATATTATTACATTATTGAAACTGTTCAAGTTAATGTCTGTTTTCTGCATTTGATGAAGATTCATTGGTAATCGAGAGTCTTGGATTAAAAACGCTATTATAGTTCTTGGGCTGAGAAACGAGATACCGCTATTTAGTAGCATATTTTACATGGAGCGGTTCTTAATCCAATATGATTATATATATATATGAAGTTCGTGACTTGTCAACATGAACGTTTTATAGCGAAACTGGTACGGTATAACAGAGTTATTTAATTTATACAGTTACTTCTGATATCATAGAATGTTTTAGAAAAAAAATTGTATCAGGGGTTGATTGTGGAGGAGAGAATCTGGTGTTTCTTTGAGACATTGTTGGAAATTTTTCGACAGAGTATCCCGTGGAAGTTATATTTAGGCCAGAGTATTTGTAATTCTGTTTCTGATGCTTCTGTGGAAGTCAAGAAAACAAGACTTGTAAGCAACTCTTTTTATCATCTGATGCAAGATGAGTTACATATTTGTTTCGAAAACTGGTGTTTTGTCAATTGGTGGTTTACAATTTTCTCACAGTTTCTGTGGTTGGCATGTGTAAAAAATATCAATGTTTATTGTGTAGCTATTTGTAGTGGTATGTATAAGAACCTTATAAAGGGTTTGTATTTCAAACCAATAACTTCACAAATGTACCTTCGGTTAGTCAACGGTAAGTTTGCGGGCTTATAACGCTAAATATCGATTTTCGATACTCACGGTGGGCACAGTACAGATAGTCAAATGTGTAGATTTAGGCTTAATAATAAACAAACAGTACTGCGCATATGTTTTTACTAAAAAAAGTAAAATGGTTGAGGAGCAGCTGCCAAAGCTGCGTGTTACGATCGTACTATTCACGCACTTAGCTTTCCCTTTTTATATCCATCAACTTTATTTAGGCTGTACTTATTCCTACCAGGAATTGATTCATATCAATGCAAACATAGCAAACTGCTGTTTATTACTGGTAATCATTAACACAGAGATTTAGAAATATATTTTGTTTTTTACTGTTAACATTTAGTTTCGTCCTTCGCATCTCTTTGTTTATTCGTTCTCTCTCACATCTCCTGATTTTTCTTCTTGTTTTAGTTGAACTCCTGTCTTTTTATATTCCATTTTCAAATCTACTCTGAACCGGCCCCTTTCTTTCTGACCTTACACCTGTTCCCCATATATTCTATAATAATGTTTCATATCCATTGGAGAGGGGGAGGGTGTCTCCATACCGATTGAACTTAGAAAGGCTGTTGCTACTCGCTCCAGTCGTTCTCTAATTACTTAGAAACCTGCAATCCCCTAATTCCTAAGAGAATGACCAAAGGCCCTCCGCTTTCTCACACTCTCTCAACTTTAACTGATGTTACCTTATACTCAACTTCATAACACTGTGTTATTAAATACTGTTTATCTAATAAAAAAAACAAGCCAGAATATTTTCTACCAAAACGTCATTCGTCATTTAGCATGATGAAGAAACATCTCTTAAATATGTAAACCATTTTTATTTAAATACACAAGTATGGTCAATCTTGTTTGGATTGAAACGTTTTTGAATTTTGAGCTATATGCGCGAACACAATATTTTCATTATTATATATCAATTTCATGAGAACTTCTTAAACCTAGCTATATCTTACTACCTGAATTGTTAGAAGTTTTAATATCGTATTAAAGAAAAAAGAGAGAGGGGGAAACATTTTACTTGAAGTGAAACATAGTGGTATTGGGACTCTCCATCAGTGGTCGTTAAGGGGGCATGTGCGCCAGGCTGTCTGGATTGTCTCGTTCATCAGCTGCACGTGAGACTTGCACGAGTGGCTCAATTTTCTTCGCCTTTTGGCTTCTTTGTTCAGATTTAATTCATCGTTTTTGACAGGGATGGCGGGAAATGACACGCGAGAACAAAGCAGGTTTACTGCTGCATGTGATCTCAGCAGTCGGTCAATCTCCGCGGGAATACATGTTTTGTGGTTCAGAAAATCGTCTCTTTTGTGAGTATTATAATCGAAGGCGACGAAAAGTAAACAACACGACGTTGGGCCTTCTGACCAACCCATCCACTTGAGCTGTACACCAGAACTAGGGAGGTCTAGAAAAGAGCGCGAGCACACCCTATTAGTGGGCGGTCGCACTGCCGAAGTTTGCCACCACTTGCGGACACTAATCTGCAGGTGTTGTAAGCAAATTTAATATAAAAAAAAAAACTCCGTATTTTGTTCTCTCCATTGTAAGCCATCCTCACGTTATACAAAAAGTAAATGTATAATTCTTGGTAACCTGATGGAATTTTAATGGAAGCAGCATGTGAGCGACAACGCTATAAACATGAAACTTTAAACTGTTTTACACTATAAAAAATAGTCGCTTGAGGTCAAAGGTTATCACTATGACCATTTATGGTAAAAAATTCTGAGAAACCAAAAGTCAAAATGAAGGGGATAAAAAGCTGTGATGTGAATTTTTGAGGCTGATGACCTGTGAAAAAAAAAAAAAACATGTGTCAACGAATAGCGTAAATATGTCATCAAAGACGCACAAAAACAGTAATAGTTTATTACATTTTGTTAGCTAACCACTGGCTTGCAGAGTTTTTGCCGGTAACCTTGAAAACGTGTTTTTACTCTCTAATTTTCACAAACAATAATGATATAGAATATAATTATTATTCTTGGGGAAGAGGGGGGTGACTCACGAGTGAGCCCCTTTCAGCTCAGTTCAGATAGAATCTTTCCAAGTCAAACAGCTCTGTGTTAAAACTTGTTTTCGTGAGAACTTTGAACAATAAGTTGTTACAATAAGATATGCATAATCTCTTGCATACATCTATATAAAATAAAAGAAGTTTATCCACCTCCCCAGAGTTACAAAACCATAAAACAAGGTTATCCACCTCCCCAGAGTTACAAAACCAAGCTTTTGTAGCGTAATTGTTTCGTTTCTCGTATAGACACACACACACAATCCACGTTTTCCCTCTTAAATTTGCCATTAGAGGGTGGAACATGTGCAACTCAAGAGCACTTCATTGACTGCAAAGTTCAGAATTAAATGTGCACTTGAATATGTAACTCGTGTTAATATAAGTGAAATTTCATTGAATAGACTCATTACATATTTGATCGACTCGACCCTTGGAAGAGGAGCTTAGATAAATGGTTTACACGTTGAGGTAATCAAATATATTTTCATGGGATTTTTCTCTATAGAAGATATAGTCTAGTACAGAGATAAGGAAAGGGGGCTAGAAAATGGAGGTAGGAGCATTTCTGGGCAAAAGCCGATAACGTATTATATTTTGGGAATTGGAATATTCTGAACCTGAAATATTTGGGTTACCAAACTTTATTTGCCTTCTATATCGCTCTTATTTTCATTTACTCTTGGCTTGGTACCTGTAATTTACAAGATACGTTTATTTTACACGTTGAATGTATGTAACACCCAAACAAATCCTATTAATTTGGTACCTGTAATTTACAAGATACGTTTATTTTACACGTTGAATGTATGTAACACCCAAACAAATCCTATTAATTTGGTACCTGTAATTTACAAGATACGTTTATTTTACACGTTGAATGTATGTAACACCCAAACAAATCCCATTACTTTGGTATCTGTAATTTACAAGATACGTTTATTCTACACGTTGAATGTATGTAACACCCCCAAACAAATGCCATTAATTTGCCAAATGTGTCACTGAATGAACAAAAATTAATTATTTTGTAATTTCATTACCTAAATTACGTTAATATGTGCATTATCACTCGATAGGGTTTTATATAGCAGTTATTTTAGCAAGTACTTTGATAAGAATATATGCTTTTACACACAAATAATCAACTATGCAATATTATTGTGTTGATATAAGTTGGTTTATAATTCTTTATATATATATATATTTTCTGAAGTTTTTTACATCGAACTTATTGTTTCCACACATTAGAAGTAGCAGTGCTTAAGTCTATACTGTGGGTACTGACTTGAAGCTACGAGCTGTTCACAGTTGCACAATGCACAACTGGTAGCTAGTGCAAGGTTCAGTGATCATATCAGAGTACTGTAATTAGGCTGAACTTGAGTACTATATATATTACAGAAATCTGGACAAGTGACTCATATCAGTTTACAATGGTGTAAATTGCATATTCAGTTTAGATATGAAACAAGGAGATAGAGTAATTCTTTTCATATCTTATATATTTAACAGGCAGACATAAAATATAAACTAGATATGTTACTCTCCTCACTTGGTTATGAAATATAAATAAACATTTTAAATAAAGTTCATTTTTATAGAGAACATCATCTGCCAGTCCATAAAAGATTGTGGAACCCTGCATATTAAATGAAAAAATATAGTTTTTGGATGTGGAGCATTTGGATCTAAGAAACATCAAAATGGAGTTAGTAGATCTTTTGAATATATTACACGTGGCAACTTCATTCAAATAAATACTATTCATGAAGAAGTACATAGTAAATGTTTTACCTATAATGCAATGGTGTGAACATGTAACCTTGAAGATAAGGGAAACAAGACTTTTTTCTATTATTTTTGAAGCCTTTCTCCGAAGGTGTAAATTTATATAAAACCTATAGTTTTCAACCTTTGCACAACCACAAATAAACACAGTCGAAATCTGACTTTTATTCATTTTTGGGTTTGTGAAGAACTTTATGTAGTTTTCTCTTAAATAAAAAAGGGTGTGTACGTCAATGTTGTTCAGCAGGTCCAAATTAAATGAACAATTATGCTTTCCAACTTTTCAACAAACCCTATTTATTACCATTAAATACATAATTTTCATAATAGTTCACTATGTAGAAATATACTAATTTAAGGTAAAAATGCAAATTCGTGCTTTAAATATCTAAAAATGAAACAAATACATGGAAAACAACACTTACTTGCCAGGCTTCGTGAAAGAATGCATGTAAATATCTATTTTTAACTTGTTAAAAATAAAATCCTCGGAATTATGTAAAGATATCTGTCATATTTTGCTCCTCCACTTTGAACATTTCCTGAAGTAAGAAAATTTAGTAACCTAGATATTTTGATGCACACCCAGTTTCTGATTTCTGTACTAGGTTAATACCTGATATTTATGTCATTTGTGTGCCACGCTGTGCATTGCATCTATGACATGTCATTTCTGGGCCACCTTATACATTGCATCTATGACATGCCATTTCTGTGCCACACTGTACATTGTATTTATGACATGTCATTTCTGTGCCACACCGTACATTGCATCTATGACATGTCATTTCTGTGCCATCCTGTACATTGAATTTATGATATGTCATTTCTGTGCCATCCTGTACATTGCATTTATGACATGTAATTTCTGTGCCACACTGTACATTGCACCTGTGACATGTCATTTCTGGGCCACCTTATACATTGCATTTATGATATGTCATTTCTGTGCAATCCTGTACATTGCATTTATGATATGTCATTTCTGTGCCATCCTGTACATTACACTACTTTGTTGCCTTTCATTTTTATCACAGGGAATTGTATATATAAAACCTAAATCGTCTTGTATTGTAATATATTGCAAAGGAATACTCGTATAATTTTGTATAGAATATCCAGTTGTATTAAAGGAAGAGAAAATGATTTTATGTTAAACTTTCATTATATGATTTTTACACTAAATTAGTTTTTGTAGTATTATCTGAAGTTTCTGAAAAACAATTCTTAAATAAAATATAACTTAGTTTTACTTCATATCTATATGAAGACGTTAAGTAAAAAAAAAAGACAAACTAAAAGATATAGATCACTTAAATAAAAATAAAGATCATGATTGCATAGTTTCTGTTTTGTTTTTACAAGAAAACAATGTATTTTTACACTGATCTGTGGATCTTAGATTTTAATATGTGTGATGAGTTCTGTTCTTCTTGCTTTACAAGTCTTGCAAATCGTAACATTTCTTAAAACAAAGTCATCTATTCTCTTAATAAACGTTACAGCTGGAAAATAACTTAAGTAAAGAAACAAAACACCATCCAACTTCATCAGCACTGCGGTAGAACTTTGGGATCTGTGCCACGTGTGAAACAGATCATGCACACGTGCGAGTCGGAAATTGAAAGCCAAAAGATTCTGAGACAATTAATCTATCATTTTTTACTTTACACAGTGACTCAACAAAAATAAAGACTCATCTACAGCATCTTTGAGTGTGATATTATCAACAGGGTGAAGCTTTTACCCTCCACTTTTAAAGAAAACCATCCATACTAAATATTGATCTGAGCTGAAGATAAAGATATCGAGAGACAATATAAAATAATAAGCCTGCTTAGTGGATTGTGATTAGTAGAATCCAAAATAAATTCACCCATCCTCCCCAAGAGAACCATCGCTGTGAAAATGTTTAACATCTATAAATATTGTTAATGTATTTCTTATTTTGTCTTACTAACAAAAATTCATTTTAATCTTATCCAATCAACTCTACGGCTTCCCTGTTGTTTAGCGGTAACGCTGTGGGCTTATAATGCTAAAAATTTTGTTTTGATACCCGTGGTGGGCAGATTACAGATAATCCATTGTGTAGCTTTGAGC